AGGACCAGCAACGAGCTGAGAGAGAAAACTAATTTACTAAATATAATATCACAACGCCATGTTCTACCAGCAGTGTGCGCTTGCAGCCTGGAAGGCCAGTTATACCCTGCATTAAAAAAGGGGTGGTCAGCAGACAGAGGGAGGTGATTGTCCCCTTCTACTCAGCTCTTGTGAGCCCCATCTGCAGTACTGCATCCAGGACTGGGGCCCCCAGTGCAGGAAGGATGTAGAACTCTTGGAACAGATCCAGAGGAGGGCCACTAAGATGAACAGAGAGCTGGAGCACATCTACTATGAAGAAAGGCTGAAGGAACTGGGCTTGTTTAGCTTGGAAAAGAGAAGGCTCTAAGAGAGACCTAATTGCGGCCTTCCAGTATTTGAAGGCAGCGTAAAAACAGGAGGGGGAATGATTGTTTATGGGTGTGATTGTTTGTGGGTGGATAGTGACAGGACAAGGGGGAGTGGTTTTAAACTAAGACAGAAGAGATTTAGGTTAGATATTTGGAGGAAGTTTTTCACTCAGAGGGTGGTGACACACTGGAACAGGTTGACCAAGGAGGCTGTGGATGCCCCATCCCTGGAGGCATTCAAGGCCAGGCTGGATGTGGCTCTGGGCAGCCTGGTATGGTGGTTGGTGACCCTGCACGTAGCAGGGAGATGAAACCAGGTGGTCATTGTAGTCCTTTTCAACCCAGGCAAATCTACGATGAATGCAAGACAACACAATATAATAGAATATAATCAGAATTGAAGCTAATAAATCAAATAAATGAGAGACAGAGTGTGTCCAGAACCAAAAGCCTTACTTTAATGCCGAAGGTGAAATGGCTCGGGAGCACAAACCACACGAGACATGTGGTAAAAAAAGAGGCAGTCTCACATCTCATGAGCAATTTTATCTTTCCCTCCAAATAGAGAATGGAAACAGAACAGTGAATGTCTTCTGGGATATGTAGTTCTTCTTCTCTTCTCAGAACCAGAAATACTGACAATCCATGGAACTGAAGCATTAAGTCTTTAGCTCCCAGTACACTACATAATGTTATTATATGGAATACCAATAACAAAAGTCATAAACTCATGACATGGACATAATTACTTCTGATCTTCAGATAATGTATTTAACTTTGCCCATCACTTAGCTATTGACATTACATATCTGGTGAATCACTTTGATAACCTCTGTGAAGGTACTGCATGAAATTTTATGCCAGCAGCCTTCAAAGTCTTCTAGTCCAAGATAAAAGTAGTGTTGTCTTCTCTCCAGTGATAGTTTGAAGCAAGGGTTGGTTCATTTCTTTCTGCCTTAAACAAAAGCATCTACAACAACCTCAAGCTAGATTCTTGCCAGGTCACATAAGGTAGAGGTACTGTTAACTCTGCCATTGGCATCAGATGTAATATCGGCATAATGTGAATACAGGATGTGGTAACACCAGCTCTTTCAACCTAGTACATTATCCACTTAGCTGTGCTGCCAAGCCCTACAGTACCCTCCCTAGCGTTCATTCACTTCGTCCATCAGTTCATCTGTGTGAGGCTTCAGGAGAGATCAGTTCCTCCCCATTGGGTCAGCAGAAAAGACTGACAAAACTTGACACTCTCCATTGTTTTGTTGCTTTTTACTTTTGGAAGTCTCTAAGTCCATTTTTTTGCTAAAACATCCTGTCCTTTAACGCATTCTCTTCCAGTTTAGTTTAGTTTGAGATATGTTTGTCTACACAAATGATAACTGCACAGCTAAATATGTGAAAGTATTCCATTGTATTTCTTTAACTACAAATTGAAGTCGTAATTCTGTAAAATACTTTTCAAAGTTAATCATCTTTGATGTATGAAAATATATTCCTCTTCAGCATTTTCATGAAGTCCATTTTTTTTTATTAAGCATTTACCCACAAGTGCCAATTGAAAGTCATTGAAATATCTGTCACAAAATAATAGAAATTGTATTTTAACACAACTCTTCAGAGTACTTATTGACTAGTAAAATGTATACCCTAATTGGAAGCTTCATTATAGCTAAAGTTATCAAAGCCAGAATATTTTATCAATTTATTTCAAAGCAAAATAAAATGTCTCCCTCTTCCGTTCCACTCTGCTGAAACATTCCTCCATCTTACAAACATGAAACATTTTGAACCCTATATGCTAGTTAGTTGATTGCTAAGATCTTAAAGCTCCTGACATTGCAATATAAACACAACTGCATAAAACAATATGAGATCCAAGATATTCAAACCGATAGAAGAACTATAAAAGAGGCAATTATCCCAGTTAACAATTGGGCAATTAACATAGGTACAGCCTCACAGAATCACAGAACTGCAGGTGTGGGAAGGAACCTCTAGATATCTAGAGCAAAGCAAGCCCCTACAGCAGGCTGCACAGGTAAGCATCCAGGCTGGTCCTGAATGTCTCCAGAGAAGGAGACTCCACAATCTTCCTGGGCAGCCTGTTCCAGAGCTCTGTCACCCTCACTGTGAAGAAGTTCCCATGAATATTGGTGCAGAACCTCCTACGCTCTAGTTTATGGACGTTTCCCCTTGTCCTGTCCCCACAGACTACTGAAAAGAGATTGGCCATGTCCCTTTGACTCCCACTTAAGATATTTATAAATGTTAATAAGATCACCTCTGAGTCTTCTTTTCTCAAGGCTGAACAGACCCAAGTCGCTCAGCCTTTCCTCATGGGGAGATGTTCCAGGCCCTTTAACATCTTCATGGCCGTCTGCTGGACTCTTTCCAGGAGATCTGTCTTTTTTGTACTGGCAAGCCCACAACTGAATACAGTAATCCAGGTGAGGCCTGACCAGGGCAGAGTAGAGGGGGAGGATCACCTCCTCTGACCTACTTTTAATGCAGCCCAGGATTCCATTGGCCTTTTTGGCCACCAAGGCACACTGCTGGCTCATGGCCAACCTGTCGTCCACCAGGACCCCCAGGTTTTTCTCTGCACAGCTCCTCTCCAGCAGCTCATGTCCCAGGCCGTATTCAATTCATACTGAATGTTGTGTGTGCTTCTGAGCTCCATAATATAAAAAGGATGCTAAGGTCCTTGAAAGCCTTCAGAGGAAGACAATGAAGCAGAGAACAGTGTCGGAGCTTAAAATTATCATAGACACCATCATACACAATGGGGCTCAGAGGGTCCCATGGCATATCACTGGTGTTGAAGACAGGGCTGAAAAAGGAATCACACCTTTCTGCTTTGTCTGAAACCCTATCTGAGAAGTGATCAACCTAACCAAGTAATGGACCAATGCTATCTCTGGTCCTCCATTTGCTGTTAAAACGCTCTATTTTGGTGTCCTCCACAGTACTGGCTGGTTAAACTCTGAGCTTTGACCACACAAATTTTCTCCCTACAGCAGCAGACAGAATCTCTGTATTCCTCCCATTTCACTGAGTCTTATTTCCAGTGGCCATACACTTTCTTTTCTTAGCCAAGCATTATTCTGCCTTTCCTGCATGATGTCCAGCATTTTGGAATAGCCTGTTCCTGTGCTTCTCACAAGTAATACTTAAAAAGTGATAAGCATTGATGGATTCCAATGCTTTCAAAAACAGCTTCCCCTGGGACCATTTAAACTAGTTCCCTGAGTCTGCTCTCCTCATATCCAGAGCTGAAATTTTTATGGCAGTTTTCCATCTATCACCAAAGATTTTAAAGTTAACTACTTAAATTAAAATCTATCTTCTATAAATCAAACATTGTAATCCTGATAGTTTTGAATGATAACAGAGCTGCATATATATATTTTTCTCATGTATAACTGAAATAACCTTCATAAAGTGCATAGTTACATGACACATAGATTAGAACAAAGATGTGGATATCTTTTTCTTCTTGAACACATGACTTAAATTCCCAGCAACACTGCATATCACTATTAACAAGAACTTCAGTTTCTTAATGTTAGAAATATATTGTCCTCTATCTTTTTCAACTCACACAAATAAAGAAAAGGAAGAAAATGAAGATGACAAGAATTACAAGTGTGTTACACTATTTTTTGTTATACTATTTTTGCTAGGATTTTATACAATTGCTTTTGATTTTAGAATTCATCCACTTCAGTGTAACTGCAGTATTACATTACTGCATAATGTAAATGAGATCATACTTGCCAAGTGATTATCCTGCATGATAGGTGTTAAAAGTAAGTGTTTAATTCCAATCCTACTCTTTATCAGCAGATTGATCGCTTCCATTTCAATATGCATTTAAACTTGCAGCAGTTGTATCAAGTAATGACCAGAAAAACATGGGACCTATAAACTCAGCATTAGTCAACCCATGTAAAGAAAAAGGAAACCTCTTTATAAAAGAAAGTGCCTGGTCTTTTTGGAGTCATCACAATGTACTAGAAATGCTTGCTTTTGAAGGAAGACCTGAAGTACTTCACAACCAATTACATAATTTAAAATTCATATACTTAATCATTCTCATAACATCATGCTCTTCGAAGTGATACACTAGCACTTAAAATTCACAAGTGATGCTATGGCTTTTTTATATATCTCATGCTTGAATGAAAGAAAACTAACAGTGTATGAATACTGACAAGAGAAGCAATGTTTTATTCAAAACAGTTTGAATTGTATTTAAGACAAAATAATGAAAAGCAAAAAAGAACCTTACAACCACTTTTGTTTCATAAAGAAATGTAGACAAGTAAGAGATGGGGCAAAGAAATCTTTTTCAAAACTTAATATTAAAAATATGAAACAGTAGGAGGGTTGTGAGCCAAATCTCAAAAGCACAGATTAAACTGGAATCTGAAATCAAAGGGTAAACATTAAGTTTTCAGTTCTAAAGTTAAAGCTCTTGATAAAATGTAATTAATAAAAGGTAGAGCTACTTATGAATACTTTATACAGAAACATGGAGCACCAGAATAGGGATGGTACAGCCATGCAGAAAAAATGATATCTACGATTAAACTAGTAGTAAAAATGTGATACATTAAAACATATTCTTTTTGTAAACTCACTCACTTGTGACCAATCTCATGTGCAATGGTAAAAGCTGAACCTAGGCCAATGTCTTCATTAATGCTGCAGCTCCTTTCAGGCTCACACATTCCAGCCACAGAGGCCAAGCCTGAATAAACAGAAGGAGACACAAAGGGTCATGCCAAGGTGTTTCAGTCTTAAAAGCCCTAGTTATAAATGCCTGGATTCTTTTTAATAATCTCTATGCACAGAAGGAGCAGTTGGCAAAAGGTTAACTTTCTAGTCATTTGCAAAATCACTGGGGGGAATTTCACTTTGCCGGCTAGACATTAATATTTTTTGAACTGCAGTCAGTGCTGGAAAATGTCTAGACTAGGGGTTAGATTTATAAATTTTACTTCTGGTAACTTGGGACCACCTAGTAACTTGAGCCAGAAAAGGGAATTCAAAAAACCATTTCTATTTTAACATTCTTGAGGCTGAAGAAAGCAAAATGTATCCACATTATTTTTCTAAAGAAATCTGTTTAAGTTTAGTGGGTTCATAAAAACATACAAGCAACTTTTTTAGCTACAAGAAGCACCATATGGTACTTAAAAAAATTATAAAAACAAAACTGCATGCATCAATGAAGAGAAGGGGGAGACATGTTAATAAGTTCATTTAAACAAGGAAGTCTTTTCCATTTATCTTCTGTTATCTTCTGGAACTAAAACCTTTCTATATGACAAGTGCTTCTGAAAACTTTCTTTAAAGAAAGCAAGGCACAGGCATTTTCAGAATATTGTTCTTCATTATTTTTTACATTCTTCAGAAATAGAGTATCACACAACATTTTGCAGACAAAATATGCTACCCACTAGAGAAATCTCTAAGCATCATATTATTTGATGTATCCCTTTCTAAGGTTATCTGAAAAAAAAGCAGTAATCCCTTCTTTTGATGAAATTACCTGCAAAATTAACTACACTGTAACAGAATATTAACTGGGAACAGTGTGACTTTGCTATGCAAAAAGAAAAATAACATACTCTTTAGGAACAAGTATGCACTTCAAATTATTCTGTTTGGACTACCAGCAAGCTAGCAATAAGACCACAAATGCTTCCTAGCTGAGTCCACGTGAGCAAGTAACCGGGAGCTACAGGAGCTGGTCGGTACAATACAGCACTGACATTCAGTGCTATTCCTCTATGCATCTCTATGCATGTGCGTTGGTCATTCTATTTTGGACTAGTTTTACCTCCGTAAGTCAAACATAAACATTACACGTGGTTCAAAACTTCCAAAAGGAAAAAATGTAAGAGGCTATCATTAGGATTTAGACCCTAGTGTCTCCCTTAGGTGTACATAGGAGTATCTGGGAAGTACATGTTCTGACTTGCTTTTCTCTGCAATAAATCAAGTCAGCACACAACAGAACTACTCTGATAACCAAACTAACATGGGCAAAACGCAATAATATCAGCTTGTTGAACTTCAATCAAAACAGAAGACTACTCTAAATCAAATCACTGAAGGAGACATTATCACTGAGACCAGGATGAAGAAACAGAAGACAAAACTCTGGCCACTGACAGGCGTGTACACTGCTTGCTTTTTGCAACCTGTAGAAAATAGAGTAATTACAGTTCACATGCCTTACTTATGCTATTCTAACTGCGCAGCAAATTCTGAATATAACATTGTAATACTTTTGTAACAACAACCATGTTCTGCTGCAAAGTGCACCATATTGGGGTGGTGAAGTCATCTCTATGTTCAGATTTTTTCACTGAACGCTTGCTTAGTGACTTATAGGACCATACTAATAACATACAATTATGTACTGTGCCTGCAGAAAGTAAGAGATCAACTAAAGAACACACAGTCTATAGCTCAGATCAAAGGAGAAGAGGCCTTCTCTGCTGAAATATAGCTGCTGCAGAAAAATCTGAGGCCTATCTCAGTGCAGCTCTATGTAAGATTCCTTGTTCTAGGAAACTACAACAGAAAAGAGGTGTCTTTTCTCCTGTAAAGCCTTCACTTCTGTTTCTTCCTGGAACACCAGTGATCCACATTTGTTCTGACCTTTTGTGACCTGAGACTTTTGTTCACAGACAGCTTAAATTTATGCTTTAGTTACCGGAGGTCAGTGGGACTTACGCACATCAAATGCCTTGCAAAAGAGGGCCATGGAGGTTTATTTCTTCTCCAGTACAGTGCTTACAATGGAAGTACACCATCACAGTTTTAGAGCCAAGGGTCTCGTAACAGTACTTTGATACCATACATGATTTGATTTTTGGAGCAGAATTTGCTTTTGCATCTGATAAAGAGACGACTAGTACACTAAAGGCCTTTATTAAAAATATCATATATAAATATCAAGCAGTTTGTGAGTGAATGTTCTCCCTTTCAAATTGCTAAGACAACTTCGCAACATCAGTGTAGGCAGTCTCTTCAGTTTTGTCTCTTCCACGAAGGTATCAAAGGAAACCAATTACACTTAGAAATTAATAATTACATTTTGCCTTTTACTCAAACATGCTGTTAAGATACTCTGTATTTCCAATTGGCGAAAAAATTCTGATACATTTCTCCTCACGTAAACTAATTTCCTTTGCCACAAGTGTATTACAGGGAAAGACAAAGCAAATACAGTTATGAGCTCACATTATTAATAATTTGAACCAGTAAAATTAGAATTGTATCTTGAATTACTTCTGAGTAAATTTGAAAAATGCATAAACATTACAATAGTCTTTGAATAACGTATCTTTAATTCCTTAAAGCACTACTACAGGTAATAACTACATTACAGTAAACAACTTCTGGTGACAAATTTAGGAAAGAAGAGAACAACCCTGCTGAACAAACCTAGGATTGCTATATGTGTTTCTCCATTGTCAAAGCACTGTTTTAAGGAGTGTCGCTATTACTGTAATTTATATTTCACTGTTATTTTTTCCAAGTTCATGGAAGGAAAAGTCTGAAGCTATACTCTTCAAGAATAAGCAGAACAATAGTGTAACTCTTAAACCTCTTTTCTTTCCTAGCTTGTTTTTTTAAATGTTCTTGAGGTCTTCTACTTGTATTTTGTACTACCTCACAGAGAGAGATTAAATAAAAATAAACGACAAGTCCTCTTCTCTAATTATTGCTTGATAAATTTGAGTAATCATCTAGGTTTTAGCAGCATTAAGGCTGCCAGAGATGAGACATCCACCAGCAGCTCATTTAACATAAACTTCCAGTGATCTATCAAAGCATATACCCATCTAGGTTACCTCCTATTATTCACATTTATAAAACCATAAAACGGTATTTTGAAAACATAAACTTTAAAAACCCAAGCAGTCAATAAATCAACATTTGAGTATAAAGCAAAGAAACAAATTCAAATACAAACTGAAATTTCTATTTATGATCTTACCCAGAGTTCCACATGGTTTGTTCTTATAAGTGCAGATATCATATCTGTTAAAGAGAAAAAAGTAGATAAAATACGTCAGAGAATTAGATTTGTAAGTTATTTTGTATATTTATCACATATCTGTATCATAGATCAAGTTGTCAGAAAGCAATCAGCTTAATTATGTGCAGCCAGCTGGTGTCGGCATTTTCTACACTCTGGTGTAAACCACAAGCTGCAGTACACTCGCAGCCGCTGGCTACAAGCCAGTGGGACACCTGCCAGCAAGAAAAAATGGTTAAAGTGAATCTCCGTAATCACCAGCTCCATAAAGCAGTCTACCACAGCGCTATGAAGTTACAGAAGCATGTCTCTGGACTGCTACTGCTCCAAAACACTTGACTTCTACTTTTTGAACATACTGGAATTCCCTACAGTCTTGCACTTCAAAACAAGTAGTATTAATTGCAAGTTCTAGTATTTAGACTTTGATTCTAACTGAAGACAGTAACTTTCGATTGTAACACCAAACATTAGAAGAAATCTTAAGAACTGGCACTGTGATTCTCATCTCTTTTTTTACAGTGATTACATGTGTCCTAAGAGCATGCTACAGTGAACTAAAATGAAAAACACACTTCTGCCAAAAACTAAATAATATATTTCAAAGAAAATTTCCTTTATTTTAATTATGATCTGTCAAATACAGAAACTAAAGCTTTTGTGCAGTTAACATGCAAATACCTCCAGTGACTTAGCTAATCATAATAAATGTGTCCTGCAACAGTCATAAGTCATGAATGATAACTTCATATTTTGAGTACGCAAATCCATGATATGACTAGTGATGTGAAAACACTCTTATTATGTCTTTGAATTTCTAGGATTTATTCTCATTTCCTTGCAATGTGTTCCAGAAAAACTCCCATTATTTTGGATGGCAAGAGAAAACAAAGACAATAACACCTTTGTGCTTTAATTTTTAACCTAAATATATACTACTTCCAGACCACCAGGTCATTTCTGTTAAAAGTAACGTAAGTGCTGTTTTCAAAAAGTTTATAACATAGAAGCCAGATCATGAGATAAATACCTTTCAGAGTTAACAGAGTTAATGTCTGTCTGTAAGCCAAATCCATGGACAAAATAACAAAGCTTAAAATTTGGAACAAATCCAGTAAATTCTCTGTGCATGTAGACTGCTGTGACCATATGGAGTCCCTGGGATTTTTAAAGGTACTAAACATGGATCAGTTTGCTAGATGAAGCCTTAATTTTGAACACAGATTTCCATATGCACTGATCTCACCAAAGTGCCTCAAACTGTCATCTTAAATGCAACATAAGGCCCTCACTGATGTTCTATTTGCTGTTTCTGGAAAGGGCTATACTCAAATCAGCGTTGTTATACAAAATGTGTCAGAATATAATTAGGTTTTGTATGTTACAAAGCTGAAGCATGACGAAGAAAGACTTTATTGAACATTTTCTGCCTTCAATATCTATACAGAAACAAACTTAGAACTAAATCATTTAGGATAGAGTCTGAACCTAGTGCTTTTGAAGTTCAAAGCAAACAAGGATCAGAATTCTTTAATGAGAAAATCCAAATTTGCCTGAATTCTCTTAAAAGGGAGCTTAGAATATTCAACACCAGAAAGTCTATGCAATTCACAGCAATTACTGTTCTTCTCATGTTTTTTAATAGTGAATAATAATAGGAAAAAAAAATAATTAATGCCATACATCCTTCGATAAAACGAATATTTAAGAAGATGGCCAGTTCCACTACTCAAATAAAAAGCTGTTACTGACTTTAATGGAGCTGAAAATTTACCCTTATGGTCTCCATCTGCTCACTCTCACATGGGTATAAAGAAGAAGGTATTTGCTCACATTCAATTACATTTCAAAATATATTGCTGATAGGAGAATAAGACATGAATTGAATCCTTTGTTTCTCTTACACTTTTGAAAAACAAAGACCAAATCCTTCTGATTGATTGTGGCGGCTAGTGAATGTTCTGCTTCATTTTTTTTTATAAGAAAGCTTGATGTTAATGAAACTTAGATTAGGATAATTAAATAAAATTAACAAAGATATTTTATTTTCCAGTCAATTAGATATTTTTGCAAGATCAATCCCAGAGCATAACAGTATTCTAATGGTTTGAATAGATATTCAAATAACCAATTAATCAAAATTAATACACAATAATAATTTAGGCTTCTTCTAAGCAGCACTCATACATTCTCTTCTTTATTCTCAAAAGAAGAAAAAATCTAAGTTTTCAGAGTCCACCTGCACCATTCCCTTCAAGTTCTATGGTTGTTCTTTTTTCTTTTTTCCCTTTCATTAGCTTCTGCTTGCAATTTTTCCTAAAGCTGACATCATTTTCATGTACTGAAATGTTCAATTCCACCATCTGCTAATCTACATGATTCAATAAAATCATGCTAATTTGCCTTTCTGGGTTTTGACACCACTTCCACCACTTTAATTTGAATTATCAAGGAATCCATTTAACAATGAAGATCAAACAGATACATATATTTTTTATTTTCACAGAATTTGAAGGCAAAAGAACCATCAACTTAGCTGCCTCTTGTCCATACTGCTTGTTTTCAAATCTTAAATGAAGAAAACAGTACAAAGAGAGGGGCTTTTTTCCACCAGTAGCTCTTGATCAGTAAGATGCACAGTCATTACATACACTGTGGGAGTTGTACCACTCATCACATGGCTCTAGAAAGCTTCCCTCTAGAAGAAAAACTCTTGCTCCTTCTTTGTTTCCATGCAAGATGTGGGGAGAGAGCAAGTCTACAAATACCTAAAACAATTTATCTCACTAAAGAATAGTACCTGAAAGAGAGTCAGGGTAAAACAAACATAAATGAGGACTATACAGATCAAAACCTAAATAGTATTATGATAAGCTTTCAATTTTGAAGAAAGATCACAGAATCACAGAATGGTTTGGTTTGGAAAAGATCTTAAAGGTCATCTAGTTCCAGACCTCTGCTGGAAGGAGCACCTTCAAAGAATCAAAGAAATCAAAGAATCAAAGAATTGTAGAATGGCCTGGGTTGAAAAGGACCACAATGATCATCTAGTTTCAACCGCCCTGCTACGTGCACGGTGAACAACCAGCAGACCAGGCTGCCCAGAGCCACATCCAGCCTGGCCTTGAATGCCTCCAGGGATGGGGCATCCACAACCTTCTTGGGCAACCTGTTCCAGCGTGTCACCCTCTGGGTGAAAAACTTCCTCCAAATATCTAACCTAAACCTCCCCTGTCTTAGTTCAAAACTATTCTCCCTTGTCCTGTCAGTATCCACCCTCATAAACAGTCATGCCCTCTTCCTTCCAATACATGAAGTTATTTGAAACCCCATTCAACCTGATCTTGAAGATTTCCAATAATGGAGCACCCACAGCTTCCCTGGACAACCCATTTCAGTGTCTCATCACACCCTCAAAATGAAGAATTTATTCCTATGTCTAATCTAAATCCACCCTCTTTCAGTGTAAAACCGTTGCACCTTCTCCCGTCAATATACATCCTTGCAAAAAGTCTTCATCTTCAGGTCCCCTGCATGAAATAAAAGGCTATTAAAAACAGTGTCTACTCAGAGCCTCCTCTTCCTCAGGCTGACCAACTCCAACTCCCCTTGCCTGCCTTCACAGTAATGGTGAAGCTCTAACACCACGAACATCCTCTGGACCTTCTCAAACAGCTCCACCTTCTTCTTGAGCTGGGGGCCCCAGAAATGAACACAATACTGCAGATTCAACCCATGGCAACTAAACTCAGGAATTTCCAGGTAAAATTCAGAAGGTGACCACACAATTATTAACATGCAAAATGCATCTACTCCATTCTGGATAAGAAAGCTTATTAGGTGCCAGCAGTTCTAAGCCCAACTGTCAGTGACATCTAATTTTCATTTATGAGTACAGAATAAACTCTTAAGAAGCCTCAGTTATCTACAAGCTCACCTGCAGAAAAAACCTCTCTTCTGCATATCTTATGAGTATTACAATCCTGACTGCTTGAGCAGGTCAGTTAAATCAAACATGTAAGAAGGATGGGCTCTTTGTAAACATAAGTACTGCTCCATCTTCTCAGATAAATCATGTACAGCTACTGTCAATCCAAGATGTGCTAGGTAACAAAGAATAGAACGACAAATTGCTGTGGAAAAAAAACTACTATGACAGATGAAATATAAATGAAAAAAAGGATGCAGAAATTCAGGCGGGATTAAACAAACTGGACATAAGACTCTCTTTCAAGGCAGTTGGACATGTACTATATATATGCAGTACTACAAGATCTGCCAATTAAGAAGCTTGAAAATAAAAGACTAGCAGAAAACAAAATAAAGCCTAAGAACTGGTAGGAGGAGAGGGGGAGTTGCCCTCTATGTTAAGTGGATAGATTGCGAAGAGCTGTTTCTGAGTAACAGCCGTGACCAAGTTGAGAGCTTTTGGATTAAAATCAAGGATCGGTCCAGCAAAGGACATCTAGTGGTTGGGGCCTGCTACAGGCCACCTGATCAGGGGAGCCTGTTGCCAAGGCCCTCTTGCTTCAACTGCAGGAAGTCTCACACTCGCTGGCTCTTGTCCTGATAGGGATTTCAATCACCCAGATATCTGCTGGGACAGAGGCATGGTGGGTGGCAGACAATCCAGGAGATTCCTGGAATCTGTTGAGGATAACTTCCTGATTCAGGTATTTGACAGATTAAAGCTGGGTGAAGCCTTACTGGATCTGGTGCTCACCAAAGCACCAGGAAGGAAAGCTTTAGAAAGACTAAGACTGGAGGCAGCCTGGTTTGCAGTGATCATGTCCTGGTGGAGTTTGTAATCTTCAGGAATGCAGGACTGGCAAAAATCAGAGTCAGGACTTTGAACTTCAGGAGAGCAAACTTCAAGGAACTGCTAGGTCGCATCTTCTGGGAAACTGTCCTTAAGGGCATGGGTACATACCAGAGCTGGCAGCTCTTTAAGGACATCCTTCTGAGAGTGCAAGAGCATCAGAAGAAATTGAGCAAAGGAAGT